AGATGTGTTTTATCTAGCCCCCTTTAGGTCCACTCAATGGTAGCTCTATTCTTAAATAACTTTATTGTTTATAGTCCAATCTATAGTTATAATTTTTAATTTTAAGGAGAACTACTGAAACAACCGAGTGCCTAAATACAAAATCTTGTGTTTTTAGCTCTTGTGATATGTAGGATATGCTTAAAAGCCTTTTTACTTAATCGATATTTATCGATATTGTATAAAAGGGTAGCTATCGAAGAAGATAAGCTCGTTCTGCATATAATACCGGCGAATATACATCCATACGTATGCATCACAATTCAAGTCTCTATCTTTATCTTGAAATATTTACGATTGTTTTCTCTAGCTTTTCTGATCCCTAAGAATGCTTTAAAAGCCTTGTCAATAAATCGATATTTATCGATATTGTGTAAGAGGAGAGCTATCGAAAAAGAAGATAAACTCGTTCTGCATATACTACTCGTTGCCCTATCTAAGAACATAGACGAGGTCAAAGATTCTGCATTTTATCCGTGATAAAAATTTGTCCAAACCTATTGTACCCTTTACTTTGTCCACTTTCAATGGGTACATGGCATTAGGTTATACAAAATAATTTATTTCATTTTTTTCGCATTATATCAAAATTCTTTTTATCGGCGCCTAAGCCCTGTTGTATATTAGCCAAAGTATGTGTATAATTTTTTGTACTGGTGTGGAATAAAAGCGCATGTGAGGTTATGTCATCATACCTTTATCGTGATATTCAGTCATGCAACAACAAGCAAACAGCGCGAACACAAACAGAAATAGAAATAGAAACAGCAGCAGCAGCAGCAACAACAACATCTACAACAACAACAATAGCAGCAGCAGTAAAAAATTGTTAGTTGTAGTACTTAAATTGTAGAACGTTGTAAATTTCACGCTATTCACTGACAGTTGACAAATGGCAAGCAAATGCAACAATAACAACAATAATAAAGTTGTGAGTAATGAACAACTGGATTGGTAAATGGTTCCAATTGCAGCCGCCAGAGGGCGGCAGGTCACTGTTTGGCGATGAGCTCGAGAAGCTGCTTGCTTGGTTTCAGACTAGAGCGGAGCGCGTTGCGTGCTTTTTCGTGACACGCACGACTTGGCACGAAAAAGAAACAAAAATAAAATTTAAATGGGAGTTGAAGAGCATTTTGAGATCCGAAAACAAAATGCCAAATAACATTTGATAGTTCGGCCAAATGCCGCTCATTTGAAATGATTGTTACGTTCAATTAGCTCGGCTTTAAGAAGCACAAGAGTCTTTCCCACCGCCGGATTGATAATCATTAATTAAACAATTATTTTAATAAAATAACGTCGCAGTATCTTAATGAGCGCATAGCGCGACAATCGCCTGCCTTTTCAATTAATCTATGAAAAAAATATGTTAAAATATATTTAACCGCAATATGCAATTATTGGCTACGCATTACCTACATAATTAATTACAAATGTAGCAAAGAAACAAAGGTTTTTCAGCGATTTGGGAAATTTCATCCGCAATGGTGGTAAATGGGGCGAAATCGGTTGTATGAACGTTTTTTGTTTACCGTCCGATCGGGGTCTAACTCATTTTCTAAGATCTTTGAGAGAATTTATTTTAATCGTGCCACGATCAAGGCCGAGATATATTCGCTATATTATATACATATAAATATATGTTCTCTGAAGTTGTACAAAAACAATGTTAGGGGTATAAGATATACAAATCGATTTACAATACACCTATTTCTTTAGTATGTGCATACTTCATTGCAAAGAGGGTATACAACGAGTCGGTATGCAGCAAGGGTCAATTACACATTACACATAATGAGCAAAGAATTACAATTATTGCCACAGTGGGCCATTCGTAGCTGGCTAATACTTAATAATAACGGCATCAACTGTCAGCTGGGAGGCGAACAACGGACACGGGCAACAACATATTCAACAGCAGTAACAACAACCGTATAAACAATAACAACAAATGTTCACAAATCACGATTGTAAGAAATCACCTTTTCTTTGTTGTTGTTGTTGTTGTTGTTATTGTTACTGTTGCTATTGTTGTTTTGGTTCCAACCAACACGCAAGAAGCACAAATGAAGCAAAATAAAAACAAATCAGAGTTAACGCCACGCTGGTTGCAGCCAGTAGATACCCTATAAAAAGCTCGAATCTTATATGATTTGTATGTGGCAATAACTTGATCTTCATTAATGCTAGTTTCTAATAAAATTGGAAGAATAGGATTTTTCTAATTTACTTAAAATCGAACTCATTAAAGCTTTTCCCTTATCTTTTATTGATTTGAAGTCTTCGATTGAATTATTTGCGTTGAGTTTCTGTTATAAAGGGATCTTGAGTTACATTACACAAATTATTCGACATTATTTATCAATAACTTTACAAAAAACCCGCTTCAGTTTATTTTGTTTTAACTTAGTCGTTGCAAAGTTTAGTATACCCATTGTGCGCGTTTAATGAGCACAGGGTATTATAAACGAAAACGAAAATCGACAAAGTAAAATTAACAATTACATAAAACCTTGGAGCTAGTCCATACTACACTCTTGGATTAACGGGCATGGGAACTGTCTTCGCCTTTTGATGGAATCAACGACGGACGACCCCAGCCGAACTGAACCGAAGACCAACGGACGGACGATCGAACGAGCATACTTGCCTAGTTGCTTGATTAACCTTCTTTTCAATACCCTGTGCCAGCTGAGAATATCTAAAAAGGGTATACTGGTTTCGTGCAGTTGTGTTATGTATGTAACAGGATCTAGCCATATCTCGTCGATATGGAAAACTGCAAAAACTAAAGACTAGAAATTTAAAACATATGTATATTCCCTTACATCATGCGCCAAACGAATGAGTTTATCATCATCTAAAATTATAATAACTAGAAACTAAATCGAACTTAGTTTATATGTTCTTGAATACCTAATAAAGATTACGAATAGTTTGCTAGTTATTACCCTTCCCCGATCCACCCAAAATTGGGAGAAGAAGAGGAAGATAAAGCTAACGGCAGCTTGGCGCTGGATTCAGGGTATCTTCTAATCGGTCACATTTCGACTAAAGCACTCTTGTTTTTAATTACAATATTTTTGTTTTTATAGCGCGGGTTCAAGGCGCTCTGCATAGGAAACGAATACGCTGGCAATTACTGCACTCAATGCGACAACCGACAACAACAACAACAACAACAACAACAACAATAGCCACCAGCAGAACGGGATGAAAATTGCATCGACATGAAAGGAACACTGACTACCCAGCAGGACTGTGGTGCATGAGAATATACAGGTATCTGCACTCTTTGACAGTGAACACCTATTAACTCGTATGTTCTCTAAGAACGTGTCGTCTTGGGGTATTCGACGCTGCTTTTTAATTCGTTTGGGTTTACATTTCGGATTCCTAATTACGAGATGAGTATGCAAAAGCATGAAAAGAGAAGGGACGTTTTCAGGCCATTGTTATTTATGACTTTTAGCAGAGTTCGTCGGCTTGTTCTCTGAGTCATGGTACGCTAAGATACAATTTTTTTTTATAATAATTTGACTGTTACAAAGTTGAATTTCTGGATTTACCTATGCTTGTTTCCGTTACAAAATAAATGTAAATATGGTTATGAGACTTTTTTATATTGTTGTCAAAGATATTTAACATTTTTCGTAATTATGTAAACTTTTTGAAAAATATATATGTATGTATATGACTTAATTTTTTTTCCGCTCGATCGCAGTCAACAATTTATTTAATGCATTTTTATAGTAAAAACATTCGTTATGAACGTCAAAAATGAGTCATAATATTTTATAGCTTAAAAATGTTAAGTAACCTCCTTTATTACTTGATTTCCCACTAAATTATTTCTAGCAGTAAAATTTTAATGCTTAACTTTTCGGCGTTTTAGTAAAGAGAGCCTTGACTAGGTACGCAAAATACGGGTACGCGGGGAACATATTGGTGTTCATTTCAAAGATCTACGTACAATGAGGAAGAGAGGCTGAGAAAGAGAGAGAGAGAGAGGGAGAGAGCAGAAGGTCGCAAAGGCAAATTTGCATATGCCCTTGCTAACAGGAACTGTGAATTTGAGCTTGAGCTGAGCACAAAAGATCGTCAGAGCGAGGCAAAAGCTTCAAAATGCCGGAGAGGAACGATGGGAAAAAAGCAGGAAGACAACTTTCGCTGTTTATGTACAACTGGAGCTGTATATGTGTGTGTGTATGTGAAAGATACCAACAGCAGCAGCAGCAACAGCAACAGCAACAAGAATCATGTTGAAGCAACTCAAAATGCAACAAAACGGGAGTGGGAGAGTCAAGTGAAGTGAAGTGGAGTACATAAGTAATTCGTTTTCGTTTCTTCTGGTTGTTTATGTTTAAAAAAGTGCACAAATAAACAAGAGATCAAAATAAATTCAGACTTATACTAAATGTAAAACAATAGGGCTAGCGCTAGCGGGCAGTGTGCGACTGACAGGATACCCTGTACTTTCATACACACACATACATCCCCCACTAAGAGGCATTTAAAAGCCGCTAACTAGATCAAGATTAGCGCTAAACGAGGTCTTGGCCAGAAGAAGCTAGTGAAAATTCACACTAACATGAATTGTGAGCAAGAGAGCAAGAAAGCAAGAGGGAGAGAATGAGCCGCACAGTAATTTTTGGTAGCGCTTCCTCTTCCTCATGGGGCGCACACGCATAAAGAACACACACGCACACATCCTAAACAAAAGAAGAGAATGTGAACGAAATGGAGATGATGATGATGATGATGCTGAGGATGATGATGATGATGGATATGATGATTATGACGCTGAGATTCTTTGCAGTTGCTGCTTCTTCTTATTCTTTGGTCACTATATATTTTGCTTGAACTTATTCTTTTTCAATGAAAAACACAAGAGAACGACAAAAAATAAATAAAAAAAGATAAAATAAAACATCAACAAAATATAAAAAAATAAAACGAACCAAAAAATAAAGCGAGTTTATGTGCGTCTTCTCAATATGCAAGCTTTGCAGAAGTTTGACATTTCATTTCTTTCACGTTGCAGCATTTGTTGTTGTTATTCTGTTTGTTGTTGTTATTGCTGCGGTGACACTGGCGTCGGCATCAATGGCTGCGGCGACGACGACGATGAAGGCGGCCACACGAGAATTAATTGGCGGCGTCGCCTCCAACACTTTGGCAAAATTGTGGGGAAAATGCTGCTGTTGTTGCTGGCTACTGCTGTTTCCCCTAACCACCCCAAACAACCATCACAATTTTTTCTTTACATATATTTAGACGCACTTTTTTTACTCGCCTTTTTTGCTACAAAAGCAAATTTCACACACGCACAACTTCGATTACGATTCACGCGGGCCACATGCAGCACACTTGTTGTAATTGATGCATTCGTTTTGTGTTATCACGAATGTTTGTATGTTTAAGCACAGTTAACTTATTTGTTTGCATTTGCAGTGTATAATACGAGCGTAAAAAAAAAAATAACAAATTATGATTCTTTTTTTGTCCGAAATTGCATCCGCTTGGTGAGCGAGCGCTTGAACGTATGAGTTAGGGATGGAAAAAATATCGATAGGGCGACCAAGTCGATACTTAAGACCGCGATATATATTTCCAAGCGATATGTCAACGCACATCGATATTTATTTCGAGATGAGCGCAAATGAAATTAATCGGCAGCATTTTTAACAATTATGAGCATAACAAAATTAAATGGAGGATTTATTATTTTGTTGCAGATGAAAAACTGCTAAACATCCAAATGTCATGCTGTTGAACATAAAAGCTCATTCATATTAATGTATATAATATAACAACAAATACATTAAAGAACATATAAGGAACATATACATACAAATTGTTTATCAATAAAAAGCCACGACAAATCAAATGGTAATGTTTTTAAAGTTTTGTTTATGTGAATACTTTGATATTGTACAATGTCATGCTATGATAAAGTAAACATTCAAAAATATCACGATATAGTGTGTCGGTAATAAGCGATACTATCGGTCGGAGCGATATATGTTCTGCAGGTCTCAACCACTAGCCAGACAGCGACAAACGAACAGTCCAAAAACGAAAAAATGAGAAATATTTGTTGAAAATACTAAATAAACCAATCACAGTGTAAGGTAACTACTCAAGTGCACTTTACTTGGCCCGGCTGCCAATGGTAACGTTGAGGTCAACGGCAAAAACCGCAGTTAGCCGTTTGGAAGATGTGCGCAGCGATTCATTGCTGGTTGATATAAGCAAAGCAGGCTGCAAAACAGAGCCCAACAACAAATAGTAAACGGTGCAATCCCAACAAAGTTTGGCAGCAGCAACTGCAACCGGAGCAGCAGTATTGAATAGCAACAGCAGCAACAGCGAAGAGCTTTAGCAGCAGCAGGTGATGGCCGCCGCGTCGCCAGATGCACAGCTGGCTGCCAATGTGGACTTCAGCGAAATCACGCTCGGCGAGGTGAACGTTTGACCAATACTGGGTTAGCTCATATCGAATCTGATCTTTCTCTTCTTCCCCATAGAAAGTCGGCCATGGATCATACGGTGTTGTATGCAAGGCTATCTGGCGCAATCAGTTGGTGGCCGTCAAAGAGTTCTTTGCCAGCGCCGAACAGAAGGACATTGAGAAGGAGGTCAAACAGCTGTCGCGTGTTAAGCATCCAAACATTATTGCACTGCACGGCATCTCCTCGGCTCAGCAGGCCACATATCTGATCATGGAGTATGCCGAGGGCGGTTCCCTGCACAATTTTCTGCATGGCAAAGTGAAGCCCGCCTACAGCTTGGCGCACGCCATGAGCTGGGCACGCCAATGTGCGGAGGTGATCATCTATATTCATTTTAAATTTGTAAAACTTGAGTTAAATGTGCATTATTATCATCAGGGTGTTGCCTACCTGCATGGAATGGCACCCAAGCCACTCATACATCGCGATCTTAAGCCGCTCAACTTGCTGTTGACCAACAAGGGTCGCAATTTGAAGATTTGTGACTTTGGCACTGTAGCTGACAAGTCCACCATGATGACAAACAATCGCGGCAGCGCTGCTTGGATGGCGCCCGAGGTGAGTTAAGCCCCAGTTCAATCGCAGCAAATGCAGTAGCTGCAGCTGTTTCCTTGTTTTTATTAGCTTAAGCTTTGATATATTAGTCATTTCTAGGGCTGCTACTTATAATTTGCTTAGATGTACACATGACAGACCTCCTTCTGCAAATTAAAAACAAAAACAATAATTTATATTTTTATGTAAAAGGGCTAAAAACGTGCGTCAACTATCTCAGTAGAAGTATGTGCTGAGTTAAACTTTTAAAAGAAGAAAGCAAGACATATTGCCCTGCAGTATACTTGATGAAAATGTTTTGTATTCAACTGTTCGTAATACTTCTCTTCAACAGGTGTTTGAGGGCTCCAAATACACGGAGAAGTGCGACATCTTTAGCTGGGCCATTGTTCTGTGGGAGGTGTTGTCACGCAAGCAGCCCTTCAAGGATATTGACAATGCCTATACCATACAGTGGAAGATATACAAGGGTGAGAAGCGCTTGCGAAAGTCGATAGGGCATTATATTAAGTGTTATTGTTATTTTAACTGTTACAGGTGAGCGACCGCCACTGCTGGACAACTGTCCCAGGCACATTGAGCAACTAATGACAGCATGCTGGAAAACGGCGCCCGAGGATCGACCCTCAATGAACTATATTGTGGGTGTAATGAATGAGATTATCAAAGACTATGTTGGCGCCGATAAGCCGCTAGAATACGCGTTTGTCAACCAACAGGTGAACGCAATGAAAACTTACCTGAAATACAGTGACTCCAATGATTCATTACAGATTGTGACCAAAGAGAGCGACGGCACGGTAGCCGCTCAATATGATGGCCAAAGTTACAGCTCCAGTGATATGAGCCTCGCGTCCACACAGCTGACGCCCACCAATGTGCAAGGCACTGCGACTGAGATTGCAACTGGCACTGGCAGTGGCACTAGCTCCAGTAACAACGAATATACCTCATCAGAAAGAACGCCCACCAATTCGGGCCAACTTGACAATAATGGGCTGTTCCATATGAGCAGCAGCAATCGCTGGGATGCCATACCCGAGGAGGAAAGCGGCGAGAGCCAAAATGATAGCTTTAATTTAACATCATCCGCAGAGGCATCAAAGCGTTTGGAAACCATACGCAACGGCATGATGCAAATGGCCAATAGGATTATGGAGCAACTCACACTGGATGTTGAGCCGGTACGCCGCTTATATATGCACATATGAAAATGTATAAATGTATATATTTATCGCTTTCTGCTTGCAGAATGGTTTTGATTCGCATCGCAGCGAGAGCAGCCGCAGCAGTTCGCATGGTGAGTTCCTTATTGCAACTATTGCCATTGTTGCCGTCGTTGTCGTCTGATTGTCTGTGCGAATGAATCAGATGCACATTAACACACTCTTTTGGATGAACACGATTGAGGCATGTAAATTGTTGTCGTTGTTGTTGCAAATAGCTTAGCGACTCGTCAGCTTTGCATTCAGTTCAGAGTCTCGCTTGCCATGTGGCAGCTGTTGGTCTGGGGTCGAAAGCATGACGCACCACCACCACCACCAGCACCACCAGCAGCAATAACAGCAACAACAACAGCAACAATAACAACACCCCATCACTTAATCTTTTGTAAACAATGCGTTTGCCATCTCGCTTTAACCGCAGTGCTTTCGTCCATTTTAATTGCTCGATTTTTGTTTAATTAGTCGTTGCGTTGTTTTTATTATGCAAAAACACATTTTTGAAAACATTTTGCAATTGGCACTGTCTCAGTCGGCCAACGTTATAAATATGCGATGCGCTCATGCATTAGCAAAAATTGTCGACACCAAATGTTGCCACTGCAACAATGCGCTTGCCAATGAATACCCGCACTTCAGATAATACGAGTGATAATCATTGTTTCGAATGAATAGACTATTGGCTATACTTCGCCTCTTGGCTGCGCTCGAAAATAAAACACGCCAATTGAATTATTTACAAAGTGCCACAAATTTCAAATGGGTCATTCTTTAAAGTTTTTGGATTATTATATAAAATGAAAAATATGCACTAATCACAGTATAAGACATTATTGCATTCATAACTTAAGGTTTGGGTACTAGTTTCCAACGAATGGTTTATACCCTGCTCCAGTTGAAAAAGGCTGCTTATGTATTTTGTTTTTAATTTTGATTTTATGATAGAGATTATTGAAAATTTGTTTAAAGCAGTTCGGAGCAATATTTTACTTTCGCCTGTACAACCTTAGTATGAATTTTCACACAGATTCTTTAAATTGAGTTTGAGAATGGATTTATTAATTTATAATAAATTCTATATTTATTAAATCCAATTGGAGTAAGATAAACTCATTATAGAAACAACAATGTTTGTTGAACTGTTGTCTCTTTAATAGCTGAGTTCGCGAAAGCCCAACACCTGAACAACACAATATGCCCAGCTCATGCAGGGCATCGCTCATAGTTGCACATTGCGCACAATTATCGTAGTATTCAGTGGATTGGCTAGCTAGCTGGCTGGCCGGCTGGCTGGCAATTTCGAGCAAATTTATAGCCATGAGATGCACCGTCACCACAGTAGCCCCTTTCGCCGCCAAAGAAGTGCCAACAAAATATGAATTCAAATTAAACAAAAGCACAAACGAACGGCTCGCCGTAGTTGAAATACCCTTGCATACACTTGGCTTGCGGCCCTCAAGATATGTGAGAAGAATTGCTGAGTTTGATGAAAACATCTTGAAGAACAGTAATCTTTTCCATCATACGATTGATGAGCCTCATTTCATTGAGCCAAGTTTGGCGACTTGATGATCATGAAGAGATGCACTTATAATGTCATCTTCCGAGCGTTACACATTCGCTGACAAAATTATAATACCCTCTGATAATAGCGTACGGCTGCGGCACACACAGATGACGAGGCTGACAGAGTCGGGCGGCCAAATGCCTGCCCCACTGCCACAGCCTCCGCTGTTCCCGCCGCCCAGCCGCACGGCCGCCCGCAATGGCCGTATTGACCAGTGAGTCATCTGGCTTTTATTTCGATTTTCGTACATATAGTGCACATCTATATATATATAAATATATAGACGCAGACATACATATATGCACGGCTATATAGACTCATGTATATATATATATATCAATTAAAGCTAGAAGAGCGAAAATTTCATTTTAATGGGCACGGGGACGGATATCACGAGCGAACGATCATTGAAGATGAATCTTTTTGGATTGTGGACTAGCTGAATGCACACGAAACAGTCTTCGATCCTTATGGGTGTGGGTGTGTGTTGTTGTTGTTGTAGTTGTGCCCATTAAATGCATTGACAGCAGCGACCTAAACAAGTGGCTAGGTCACGCCCCGGGCGGTTGGCGAGGGGAAGGTGGAGAGGCTATGGCGGGGCGACGTTGGCATTTATCGCAGCGGAGATTTCCCAACCGCATGCCAGTCGCATTATTCATCAAATGAACATCAGTTCGATATAAGGAGCCAGCACTTCTAGCCGATGATACATATGCACAGCATCTCTATGTATAATGCTTGACTCTCCTGGCACACAGTGTGTGCTCATCAATTCGTAACGATTTGCCAGCTGCTCTTCCTCTAGCCCATTTTTCTGGGGCCGAACGAAGTCGAGCGGATACGGTTCTTCGACAGCGGCGACCAACAGATCCCCATTCGGTCAGTCTATGTTTGGGCACCGTGCGGTCTTGAGTGCCGCAATGTTATTGCAATTTCAAGTAGCAGCAACAAAAACAATAGCAACCCAGTTCGTTGAGATTGTTGTCATTGCCGGGCGTTTGACTAGCCACGCCCATACGCCTTGTGCCCCGGCCGTGGGTCAAATTTGTTACGAAAATCTGAAGCAAATAATGAAAATATGTGAACAACTAATTGTGCTGTGAAATTAGCAAGAAAAGCGCAAAAAGAAAAAACTTAACAACAAATAAACAATATAAGCAAGAGAAAGAGAGAGAGAGAGAGAGAGAGGTAGAGAAGAAAATCAGACGAGCAGCGTGAAAATTCAGTAGAAAATGTTTTGCCTTCGATGTGTCTGTAGTTTATAGTTTGATTTTCCAATTTTACCAAGAAAAGCCAACCAAACGAGCACGTCTGTGTGGAAAATACATACGTCATCAGAAGAGACACAAACACACACACACACACACCCTACACCTTACGCACCTACACAGTGATCGATCCAAAGAGAGAAACAGGCAGAGAGAGAGCGAGAGCCAGTGATAGCGGGAGGGGGCGCAACACTTGCTCATCGCATCGCAGGATTGTTGCACTCTCCACAAAATCTTGAGTTCGTATTTTCTTGAGCCACATTTTCGGGTTATATAGCACCCACTTGCTCACGCTTACCCAAAAAAAAAAAATAAATAAATAAATAAATCAATAACAAAATGATCGGACCGCGCACATAAGACTCTGGCAACATTATCATCCGATTCGGGAATTTATTTAGTGCAAATCGAAAGCAAACTCGCAACAATCAACATGTGCGACACGCGCGCCCTGATCACCACCAAGCAGACGAACGATCTGCACAGTTGCTGGATCATTTATAGTACGTAAATATTAGCAATTATAGACGATTTAGCATACAGGTTTATAATGCTTTATAATATATTTATAATGCACCTTATAAAGTATATCCGTCTGCCGATCTCGGATCCAGACGGGCAGGAGACTTGATATTTGTTATTTGCATTCTCCTATACAAAACGCAGAAAGAGTTCATTATATTTTAATGTCGATATCCCAATTTCATAATATCGATAAATACCGATTTTGAGATATAGTTTTTAAACACATAGACGGAATCTCTTATAGTATACGAGCAAGTTTCACAGTTTGGATAAGTGCTCCATGCGGCCAAATATTGGATTAAGTCCGATCAAGTCGTGTATGTATAGAAAAAAGTCAGATGAAATGCTTGAAGCTGCAGGGTAACTGCTAGTCGGTAACAGCCGACTAGGTTCCTCTTTAATTTCTTGTTGTCATATCGGTTCTATATCAGTGTCTTGACATCTTTTGCCTTTACAGCCAAAACTGATGGTCGGGAACGTCTGACAGTGACGGATACGAAGCCGGCAATCATGACCAGCAGCAGCAGCAGCAACAACAGCAACAGCAACAACACCACAGACCTCACTAATAACAATAATAACAACCAGAACAATAATTCAAATAACAACGAAATCTATTTGTCGAATGGACTGCTTAGCCACGCCCCTAACGCTAATGATCCAAACGATTGCGTCGATGCCGATTTGGATGTGGACGCAGATGCGGATGTAGATGCCGGCTGTGGTTGCACAGAGCAATCATTGGCCGAGATCTTGGATCCGGAACTGCAGCCAGAGCCACCCATACCGAACAATGTTGAATCGCAGGCAATCTATCGCGATCATCGCCACATGGCCAAGGAGTATCTGAGCGTGGACACGAACCTCTACTATGCGCAGGACTTTAAGGAGAAGCTGATATTGCAAATGGATCGCTTCGAGCGTGAACAAAAACAGGAGCTCTTGCGCAAAATCAAAGACAAGGTATGTAAAATAAAAATCCTGACTATGGCACTCATGTTATATATTTTCTGAAACTATCTTGTTTTTTCTATACTCACCTGTACAGGAGGGCCTGCAAAGCCTCTACAATAATCTGCAGCAGCAGTGGGAGAAGCTGCCAGCCGCACGCCAAGCAAACACTCATGTGCGCCAACAGCCGACGGGGGTCGGCAACAGCCAAGAACTGGCAGGTGGCATCGCCGGCGGCGACACCGTGGAGAATGATGGTTGGGTCGTTATAGCCCCGCATCATAACACATAGCTCTCTCATGGTTGCTCTGGAATCTATGTGACCAATAGCCGTGTACTTCCATTTGTTCAACTTTAATAACTTAATTTTTAACTCTAATTATAGCAATAACTGTAACATGTAACTGTAACTGTAACTGTTCTTAAGTTAAGGCTCCTTTTATTTTAGACATAGCTCCTAGATCTGATCTACATATATATATATATATATATTAACGTATATATATATATATGTCTTAGCGACGCCTAAGCGCTTAGTTTTAGCCGTGTTGCTTGTTTCACGTATATATGTATTTACTATGAGAGTAGTCTAGTGTTATGCATGTGCATATGTATGTGACGATATATTATGATGTCCATATGTGTATATGATGACAAACGCTTACCAAAAATATATAAAGGTATTTGTCAATGGGTTGTATGTCCGCTCCTTGGCAAATTCAATTAAAAATACTCTGTGTTGTTTTCTTTATACGTGCTATACCCCTCGATTTTGTTAATATGGATTCACCCAATTTCCGCCAGCTATGCTGGATTTTCATAGCTTGTGTTTAACAACCGGTTATTGATGAATCTTGATTGTCCATTTTCGAACCAACAAACAATTATCGATCTATTTTGGTTTGGAAATCGAATCTTGTGGAATAGCAGAAAAGTATCATCAGATTTTCACACAACTTAAAACTCTTTAGGCACAAGCAATATCTAAATTACTTCAAGATGATTTTGATTTACAAAACAGTTCATATATTACTAACAAGAAGAAAATGTTTATTTTAAATCGTTTTCTAGATTTCTACTAATAGTTAAATATTCGAACGGTTGACCTGCTATTAACAATCGTTTTGTTGGCCTTGCTTGGCACATTGCTTCACTGTACAGTAGTAACATGGGAACAGCATTTTCAGCATGGGTTTGGGGTCATTTCTATATAATTGCATTGCGTTGTTATCAAATCAGATCTCGAGTAAATTCGTTGCAGAAGGCGCGCTGTTTGGGACACGCTGCTAGGAGTCAAAGCTGGGCACATAAATGGCGGCACATGTCGATTCCCAGACATCGTTTGGTGTATCCCATGAGTCCTTGCGATGCCACCAGTTGCCTGTGTCCAGATCGTACGCCATGGTCTCCGAACTGGCGCGATCAATCGACTCCGTTGAGTCCAGTCCGCCCACAAAAAATATGGTGCGACGCATCGAGGTGACGCCCGAATAGAATTTTGGTGCGGGTATTTTAGTTTCCACGCTCCACGTATTGCTCTTAATATCATACGCATAGATGTGCTCCACCAGCACGCGTGACTCCCTCAGCGTCTCGTGCCAGCCGCCGCACGCATAGATGCGATTGTCGATTGCCACCAGCACATGGTCACAGCATGGCGTCGGCATCGGCGCCAGTTCCATCCAACGTTCGCTCTTCGTGTCGAAGCACCATGTGCTTGACAATATGTTAGCCAGGTGTATGCCGCCTGCGTTGAGAGCGAGAAAGCACTGCCGTGAGTGTTGGAAACCCAATTTTTAGATTAAACTATAAACTAGTTGGTAGTTCCCCGCCTAGTTATCTGCTTCCAAGTTTAAACATCACTTTTCCATTCGTTTCCCGTTCGTCGAAAATTCATTCCATTGAAGCAGAACCAAAAACTGAATCCTAAATTCGTCTCGTGGTATGAAGCTTGAATCCCACATACAACCCTTGACCCTTAATTTTGTATCTAAGAGGAATTGATTATACAAAATGCCTTTTATAGTGAGCCTTGGAAAGATCATTGGAGCCCGAAAATACACCCACCAATTTTTTCATTCCCTGGATTTACCGGAAAGTGTGAAACTTCTCTCAAATGAATTTGAACAAAGAGCTTTGAAAATAATATACTTAAGGCGATCTGATTTCAAATCATATAAAATAAATAAAATCATATAAATCCCGGATTTATCCGGACCAAGCTTAACCAAGCTTGTGGAAATCGTTGCATATATGTTTGAGGTTTAAATTTCAAACCCGTTGAATAACTAAACATGCGATTTACACGAATCTTTCACCTTTGTCGGTGGAATTAACCCAAATTCCATTTTAGTGCTTGGGTGATTCAAGAAAAAACTGGGAAATAAGCTATTAGCGATTTGGGCTTATACATTACCGGAGATATAGAGCTTGTCGCCGACAACGACGCCCGCATGCTGACTGCGATTTTCCTGCAGGCTAGGCATGTAAGTCCACGTATTGCTGACAATGTCATAACGCTCTACGTTGGATATGCGACGCAGTGCCTCCTCGGAATTATCGTCGTGCTCCACAATGCCACCGACAGCATACAGATGCTGCTTGCCAACAGCATTGAGCGAGAAGCGACAGCGATCCAGCTGTATGGGTGCTATTGTCACCCAGGAGTCGCGCAGCGGGCAGTAGCGAAATCCAAACGGATGAATATACTCCTTAAGGCACACATCGTAAGCACCACCCACAATGAAGAGTTCGTTGTTCAGAACGGCAGTGCCAAAATTGCCTGCAAGGGATGTGTTAGTTCGGATTAGAAAGTGGGGAAGTGGGGCTGGGAATGGCTATTGCTTACATTGATCAATATGCGGTATGGAGGTTAGCTCGTACCACTTCATTTTAGTTGGCGAGAAGCACATAATCTCATTGGTCAGACCCTTCCACTCGAAACCGCCAATTTTGAGCAGACTCAGTTCCATGCCGCGCATATTGGTGGGCCCCTGGCCCTGCTGCAGGCAGTGTTCGAGTGCCTCAGAGCTTGACTCCTGGACGCTGCCGCTCTCATGCAGCTTGGCCAGATACTTCTCGACCAGCGAGTAGTTATGATGACGCAGCGATTTCAGTTCGTCACAGCTGATATACTGCCATTTGATAAGGTGGAGCAGTTCGAGCAAGGCACCATCGTCCAGCTGCTGTTCGAGCGCGTAGCTGCAGAGCAGACGCACCAGCTCCGGTTCGCTGACATCAATCGGATAGTTGCTGGACAGTATAAAGTGCAGCTGCTCCAGTTTAACATCCTTGAAGTCATTGCTGGCGGCAAACTCCTTAAAGTGTGCGCATATATAGCGAAAGGCGCGCTCGGCGAGCGCCAGTTGACCATAAATCTCGGCCATGCTCGCTATGGCCAGGCAGTTGTCCATGCTAATCTTTTGCTCAAGAAAAACGGTGCAGCGCTCAATGACCTCCTTGACCTGAACATGGGTGGCTGCCGCCAGCGTCTCCTCCACATTGTCCACATTCAATTCCAGCAGCGATGTATATATAAAGATTATGATGCGGCTCATAGCGCGCGCCGTAACGCCATACAGTGTGATCTCCTCCTTACGCGACTCGATCATGGCACAGTTCGCGAACATGGCGCAAAAGTAGTCGCTACTGGCCGCCAGCACCACGCGATGCGCCTGCAACATAGACCAGCTATATTATATATATATGTATATAGATTTTGTGGTAATAGTTGTACGCACCTTGAAGCGATGATCCTCCACGATGAGCGTCACATCTGTCAGCTTGCCCTGGGAGCGCAGCTTATTGAGGCCACGCAACAGGTTCTTCTCACCGGCGGCAACTGTTGCGGACATATCGATCGCCGCTTATCAGCAAACGTGACGCACTGTTCCACTGTACCCCCAACCTTGCCCCCTACTAATCAATGTGACGATGACGCTGATGACGCTGACTACGACGACAGCATGCTCCGGTTGGGAGTAGGCGGCAGCGATAATCAAGTGGACGACGGCGCACAGATACACACGCACACATATAACTAAGTATTAATAAATAAATGAAATACTTGTTGATAGCGAAATTTACGGGGTGAGCGGCTGGCGGAATAGCGGGGCAGCGGCGGTTCGATTGCGGGCTGTAGTTCAATTTTTAATGTTTACAATATTGCGACCAGCTGTTGCCTTTTGTGCGTGCGCATGTGTACATAAATAGTATCTCTTATTTGTGTGCATATAAAAAATGAATGTTTTTTTTTTCTCATGAATTATTAGCATGCACCGTTAGGCAGAGGGCTGCCCACGTTTAAATTATATATGCGCCGTGTTATTAGCTGATTATTTGATTGATTTTAGCCTAAGCTGATTGCAACTGTTGTATATGCCCTGCTACAATATTTTCTATTATGTTGAAAGAAAGTGTGCGTTTGTTTGTATTGGTATATCTTTGTATATCAATAGTTTTCAGGTGTTGGTTAACGTTTCGCTGTTGCGGCGAATTGTTAACAGCTGAACTTTTCGGCACAGCATTTACCAACACATGTCGCATAGTGCGAAGCTTTATCGTTATAATTAATCACAATATTTAAGACGGTAATCAAGCGATTTCTTTTTTTTTCGAGACTTTCGCTATGGTTGGCATTAAGTCTTTAGCGCTAAGGTCAAAGTGCATCATTTTTTTGGTTTGCATATATGCTTGGTTTATCTTGTGGCCTGTTCGAAAGAACCGTTAAGCCGCCAAAGTTCCTGTTCATGTTATTCAAAATGTCTTGAGAGTATTATATATGTCCATTTATGTGATTGACTTATTAAAGTAGGTATGATCTAGCTTTTTAATTAAGTCCATCAAAAATCAAACACTTGCTTTTGGAGCTTACTTGAATTCATGAGAATCGCATAGTAAGGCGGCATTTACACAATTTGTCATTTTTCTATTGCATCGCAGCAGAAACCAAAATAATTACAATAATGCATAATTCAACTCTACTTATATATGGCTAAGCTCCATATATACTCAGGGGAGTAGATAAATATGTATAATTGAATGAAATAAATAATAAATATGTATAAGTTATTTTAAACGGACTGTAGGCGTGTTTATCTCGAATCGAAGAGCTAATTAATTAATATAAAATATTTATTCGATATTTATAACATTTGTACTTAACATAAATGAACTACATCTATCTATATACATGAACATCTACAATGCGTACTCTAAGCTAAGCTCCAGCGGAGACGTTTACATTTATTTGGATGCGAGCGAAGCGATAGTCGCGACTATCCTCATTGCGCACCAGGCAGAGCAGGGGCACACCCGGCTGCCTAACTTGCAGCAGTTGACGCAATCCACGAGCCGTTATATAGCCCACACCACAGACGGCTGCCTCCACGAAGCTGAAACCGGCGCAGGTCACATAGCCGAACACCTCGCGACTGCATTGACGGCGCACGCTGTCGTGCTTCTTGGTTGGATCGCTGGGCAGCCAGAGGTCACACATTTTAGCAAACTGCTCGCTGATCAAGGGCCCTGTCCGGGCCGGACGAATGTGGACGCGCTTTGTGCTTGTCTCCTGCAGTTTGCGCTTCTCGCGCACGCGACGGGAGCGCAAGCGCTTCAGCAGACGCTTGTGTTGATGGCGCAACTGTTTGCGTAAACGTTCGTTCAGGTCGCTCTGCAGTGGCTCGGTATGCACGGGCTCGTGCTCGTCATGCT